CTCTTTAAATGTTATTCAAGTATATCAGTCCCTGTCTGTTTGATTCAGTTTTTTGCCTGTAAAATTTGAATCAGCTCGCATTCAACTTTGGTTAGGTTTTTTCATGCATAATGCTTGAGATCAATATTTTGCTATATACGCTGTTTGGTGAATTTGTACTGATTAGTCAAGAATAATCTCTTTTGAAGAAAGTTGCGAGACTTTTACATCCAAGCAACTTCCTAGGCAGCAGCTCTCTTTTGATTAGGCACATCTTGGATGAAACTTGAAATTTCTTGACTTAAATGTATTGCTAGTGCACAGAAGAATTTAAGAGGCTTTATTGTTTTGTTTTTTGACTACATTTATATTGGGAATTCTCATTGAGATTTTGGTTCTAAGTGCATTTTAGGGCATGCTTATTTACGATATTTGAATGATAACATCATCTATGGGTGTCAGCTAATCTAATGTTTGTTTAGGAATGTTGTTGTTTTTTGTAAATGTGGTTACAAAGCTATTGCAGGGAAAGTAATTTTTATAAAAAGTAGCTTTTTAGTATAGATATGTCTTGTAAGCCTAAAAAAGTAATAGTCAAACATTAAATGTGGTTGCAGTTTGAAAAACTGAGCAATAAGAAAGCTATCTCAATGAAATCTAAAGATCTTGGAAGTAGTTGTCAAACTTTTAAATTAGAATTCCACCTTCATAAGATTTTTGTTTTTGCGCACACCATTCCCTATCATGACAACAACAACAACACATCAAACCTTTGTTCCACTACATGTGGTCGGCTACATGAATCCATTTTCTCCATTGCATTCTAATAAGGGTCAAATTCTCATTTAAATCTAATAAAAAATGTTATTTCTAATATTTTCTAAACAAGTCTTTTTAGGTCTACCTTTACCTTTCTTAACATGATGCAATCAATATTGCTCACTTTATTTTTTCTTATTTTTTCTTGTGTTTCTAGTTATCTTTCTCTTGTGACTTCTTAGTTTTCCCTACTATTTGCTGAATTTCCCTGCTATTTGCTGAATTTTCATGTTGTTTGCCGAATTTCCCTACTGTTTGTTGAACTTCTATGTTGTTTGCTGAATTTCCTTGCTGTCTTTTTCCTTTTCTGATGTCTTCTCGTATTGTTGCTATTTTTTGGTCATCCCTAAGTGGTTGTTTGGTCTTCCCATGTTGGTTGTTTGTCTTCCCCATGTTGGACTTCAGTTTTCTCTCCTAGCTCTTCATTTCACCAGCTACCCCTTCCGTTTCTTTGTTGTCTTTACTGCTGATTGCTCGTTTTCCCTGCAGTAGCTACTTGGTTTCCCCATTTGCGGAAACATATGTTGGATGCTTTATTTCCTAATTAATTGGGTTGATTTGGAAGAGTTTTGTTGTTATTTTGGAAGGCTTTTATTAGTTGTTTGGGTGATAAATTTAAGTGAGCATTTAATATCATTTCTCCTCCTTTTTCTATATAAGGTGATTGATTTCTTTGTGAAAAAAGAGAGTGAAATGTGATGAATATTTGGAACGTGAAACCTGTGGGTTTGTCATAGCTTGCGAGCTAACATCTTCTACCTTCCTTCTTATATTTCATCTTGGACTTCTATTTATTGTTCTCTCCACGGTTCCCATTTTATCTGATTCTTTCTTCTCAAAACTTTGATTAGTCGTTAGTTGTGTTGTTTTTTTACAAGTTGAAAGTGGTGTTGTGTCTTGTAAGTTGTAAGGTGTTGTTGTATTTTAAGGTTGTGTTTGTTTTGTGTTTATTAGTTGCATGTGTGTTGTTCTTTCTATTATAAGTGATGTTTTGTTCTATTTCATTGTTCTGTTTGTTTTAGTTATTTTAAAAGAAAGTGATTATTTGCATACCTTGTGTTCTCTTACTTGGTTCAGAGATTTCTAATTCTCATGATAACATAAGCAAATCTAATGTATCTACTCTCCTAACCGATCATCAAAGGCCTCCGTTTTATGTGACCATTCCTTAAAAAAAATCATCTTATATTAAATTGTTATGTTAATTCATTTAAAATTATCAATTATTTGTTTGGTTCAATTTTTATATATAATGATTGCTATACAATCTAAAATCTTCATTTTTATGATTATCATTAGTCTTATCCTAACTATTTTATGCGGGATTAATGAATATTTATTCTCATTCATTTTTATTATGTGATATAGATGATAGTATCTCTATTATGCTAACTATAATGATTGACATTAATTTACACACTAGTTTGTTTTATTTCTCGAAGGTTCATAATGATCCAATAAAAACCAAATAATGATCCAATAAAAAAAAATCACCTAACTTTAATCCGACCTCATCATAGAATAGTCGATGAGGTTGAAGCCGAGAAATGAGTTGGATGCTTTATTTCCTAATTAATTGGGTTGATTTGGAAGAGTTTTGTTGTTATTTTGGAAGGCTTTTATTAGTTGTTTGGGTGATAAATTTAAGTGAGCATTTAATATCATTTCTCCTCCTTTTTCTATATAAGGTGATTGATTTCTTTGTGAAAAAAGAGAGTGATATGTGATGAATATTTGGAACGTGAAACCTGTGGGTTTGTCATAGCTTGTGAGCTAACATCTTCTACCTTCCTTCTTATATTTCATCTTGGACTTCTATTTATTGTTCTCTCCACGATTCCCATTTCACCTAATTCTTTCTTCTCGAAACTTTGATTAGTCGTAAGTTGTGTTGTTTTTTTACAAGTTGAAAGTGGTGTTGTGTCTTGTAAATTGTAAGGTGTTGTTGTATTTTTTTACAAGTGAGTCAAGTCGACTCGTGAGCTGACTCGAGTTCTACTTGATAAATAGCTCATGAGCGAAATTTGATGAGCTAACAAACCAAATTTGAGTTGACTCGTTAGCTCATGAGCCCACTCTTTTAAAAAATATGAATATAAAATGCACTTAATATACATTAATATTCAACATTTTTAAGTACAAAATTGTTAAAAATGTTTCTAAATTACATCTCACTATACAACTCATTTTTATTTGTTGGTTGGGAGCTTTGAAAAAGGTTTGGGTTCAGGTCTTACATATGTATTGTGTGTGTGAGTTTTACTTAATTGACTTAAATGCCCAAAAAAAAGCATGACTTTCTTATATTAAGTGATTTATCATTTTTTCCTACTAATTTTTTTTTTCTTTTTTACTATTTTATTATAATAATTGCTTAAATTATAAGCATTTTTTTCTCTTCCAAAATAAATGAGTTGGCTTGAACTTGATTAATTAATCAAGCTAGTGACTTGAGCTCGATACGATACGCTTACACCCCTAATTCCAAAACAAATTTAAGGTTACTAATCTCCTTTGTGTTAACAAAACTTCTTCTCCGAAGAAATTATTAGGTGCAGAGGCCCGACATAGACATACGTTCGAACTCCAATAAAATGTTGACACGTGGAGTGGACAGGTGGATATTCAATTGGATTTATTTTTTACTTTATATATTTAACGTGTCCGTTGAACTTTAAGCCAAGCGCATCAAAAGTGCACCCAAAGCGTAGGTAAAGCACAGTCAAAGTGCAGAAAAAGCAGAGTCAAAGCACATTAAAAAACGCAATAAAAGAACAGTCAAAACGCAACTAAAGAACAGGTAAAGCGCAAGTAAAGCGCTAAAAAAACTTAATTAAAGTGTACTCCACATGTCAAATTTTAAATGAATGTTCGGACATATCTTTAATCCGCACTCTCTGCACCTAATAATTTCTCGTTAGACAAGTGTACTCCACATGTCAAATTTTAAATGAATGTTCGGACATATCTTTAATCCGCACTCTCTACACCTAATAATTTCTCATTAGGCACAACCGTGTAGTGGCTCATTAATTGGCTTGAATCAAAAGGATTTGGGATCGCAGGAGCAATGACTTGACGGCATAATCGCGGGAAACATCGATGGCACCACTGAAAAAGGTAAGAAGAGGCGAAGGTACTCTGGTAAAAAAAAAAAAAAAATTACACAACTCTCCTTGGCCTATTGGTTGAGAGCTTAGGCTTCCAACTAAGAGGTCCAAGGTTCGAGTCTATGTGTATGCGTTGTGTGTGTGAGTTTGCCTTAATGGCCTAAATGTCTCAAAAAAAAAAAAGGGATTATTTGTCTAAATAAAAAAAAATGATAGGAATATTAGTCCACACAAATTCATTGCATGGGGGTAAAAAGTTTAATTTTCCTGATACAATAACGATATTTAATTGAATAAAATGATATTAAAATATTTGATAATTAATAAATATGCATTTCATAGCGGGCTAAGATTATATCACCTGAAAAAATAGGTTAAATTTGAATTACTTTTTATTCAAGTTGAATTAGAATGAATCCTAACTAAATAATTATATAACAGTGATAACATCAAGTTTTTATCTCATTAGCTGGGGTCAATTATAAGAATTATTTTTATTATCCTATTAAGAATTAAATATTCATTTAAATCTAGTAAAAAATGTCATTTATAATATTTTCTAATCAAATATTTTTAGGTATATCTTTAAGCAAAATTTAATATATTTATTATCTTAATTAGGTCATCAGAAAGTTGATCTTTTAATAAATTATTTTTCTTCTTATTATTTACTTACTATGTAATGATAAGCTCATTCCTTTTTTTTTCAAATTAATTTAATATATTATTCAATGGATTTTTTTTAAAGGAGCATAATATTTAATTTAAATTAGAAATAGGAGCAGAGTATTAATAAAATTTAAAAAGAAGCAAACATTTCTAATTTGCTTCTTTTTAAAATTTTTAATACTTTACTTATATTTCTAATTTAAATTAAGCATCATGCTCCTTTAATTTTTTATTCCTTCTCAAACCTTTTTATTAGAATTTTTTAATGTTAATTTTTTTTTCTGTATTTTTGATATAAAACACAAAAAATTATATGTTTACAAAAAATAATAAAATGTTTTAGCATTTAAGCTACTTCTTAAATATTTTTTAATTACAATTTTTATATTTAATTAATTTTAAGTGATGATCTCTTAGAAAATCGGCCATCGTTTGCACCTGAAAAAACTTCTGGATAAAAACAATGAGGAAAGATTGGAGAAGTCGGGTGTAGATGCAGGAAGGCATGCATGCTGTGCGGAGGCCACCTCGTGGTTCACCGGAGAACCGCGAAGAGGATGGCACCAAGACACGGAAGTCCACTTTCCATCTCGGCAGATTCGCAGCTAGACTGATTAACTGCCGGCCAGAGAACCTCCATATGGGGCACCCCCTAACAATCTCCCTACTTCTGCTTATACTCGTCGTCGTCTTTCTCATCATCTTAGATTTGTCCCGCCCGGCCGTCTGCATCTACTCCAACGCTGGTTCCTCTCTATTTTCCACCGGTGGCGACGGTCTCGCCTTCAATTTCGGATCCCTTGGTTTTCCTTGGTGTAAGACTTTTACTTTCCTTTCTATCCGTAAAAATATTGCGGGATTTTCGCTGAAATTAGTTTATTTAAGAGATCTTGGTCTTTAGACGCTTGGAATCGACTTTCTTCCTATGATTCAACTACCTAGTGTTGGGCGAGAACTCTCAGTGTTATTCCTTCAGATTTATGAGTTGTGTTCGTGTTTTTGTTGGATCATTCAGTATTTTGAACTGTCTAAAACTAGATTATCCATCATTTGTTTTTTCCCTCTGTTAGATATGTAAATAAGATATTATAAAGTGGTATGTATGTAAATTTCCCTTTTACACATTGTCATAGCCCATGCGAGAACGGCATATCTTCGGCAAGCTTGAAAATAGGTTTTGATAGCCAGGATTTCTTTCCGTTACTTTGTTTCCTACAGATGACGATGCCTGGACTGAGGTACAAAAATCCTACAGGGTATGTTTGGGTTTAAAGGAGTTGGTGGGAATGGTAATGTATTTTGCTTCATAAATTTATATTGGTGTTTGGTTCTGACCTAATTAATAGATAATTAGATTTACTTAAGAATTGTTGACAAATGCGTATTTGTCTTTAAAAATTCACTACCCAACCCTAATGAGAAAGGAAAGAACAACTTAGGGGCTATTTGGCTACAGGTATGATATAACTCAAGTTGGATGTTAGGGAATAAACAATGTAATTGATATTTTGTGGTTATTGGGTTTTTATTAGGATTATCATGCTATTAGGGAGATAATGATACTTGTAGGCTATAAATAAGCTTGAAACTCCTTGGAGATTTGGCTCACTCTTTCTTCTCCCTCATTCTACCAGTAGTTATGGGTGACCTTGGATTGCCCAAAGCCTTATCCCCTTATACTAGGAGCTATGGACATGCTAGAAATTATCTACTTATCTTGGTTGATGCAATATTCACTGTTTGTTTGTGAAGTTTTTTATATTTCTTGCAAATGTTTGTGACTTAGGATTTAGTAGTCGTGTAAATCTGGATTTTATAAATCTTATGAGAGTTTAATCCTGGAAAATGTTTGGTATGATAGATGTTAAATGACATTTATGATTTTGTAGGATTTAAAATAATTTTCTGACCATTTGGTAGGATTTACGCTAAACCCTGCTACCAAACAACCCATTAGTTTCTCATCAATAAAGCAAGAAAAAATATTTTGTTTTTTTCACTCAGTTTCTTCTTAACCCGCAACCCAACGAATGGTGAAACCAATCTCAATGCAATTCTTTGAATAGTTATTTTCCATTTGTCTTTAGTACAGTCTCTTGTAACTCCTTATCAAACAGAGCTATAAGTAATATGAATAGAATTCAACAAGCAAGCCCTCAAAAAGTATTTTAAGGAGCTCTTTACTGCATTGGAATTTGTGTGTAAAAACAAGTCTCTATAATAGATTACAAATTGTTTATAGATGAAAACAATAAAAGAGCTTGTGAATTTTTTCGTATTTATATTTATGTATTTATAGCAACATTTCTCTACCAATTATAGTGATTGTCAATAAATAAACTTTTTTCCTGCACCCGGAAATAAATCTCAATTTAGAATAAAAGTTTGTTCCTGCAACAACAACATCAAGCCTTTACCACTATGTGTGGTCGGCTACATGAATTCTTTTTCTCCATTATGTCCTGTTAAGAGTCGAATTCTTATTTAAATCTAATAAAGAAAAGATATTTGTAATATTTTCTAAGTCTTTTTAGGTTTATTTATCTTTCTTAACATAAGCTATATCTAATACATCTACTTTTCTAACTGGTAATCGGAAGGCCGCCGTTTTATGTGACTAAACCATTTAAGGCGACTCTCTCTAATCTTATCCTCCATTGGAGCTAGTCCAACGTTTTCACGTATATGCTCATTTCATATTATGTCTCTAAGAGTAAAGCCACTTATCCACCTGATTATTCTCATCTTTGCAACACTTAACTTAATATTATGCTTCTCTTTTAATAAAAGTTTGCTCCTAAACATTCAAAAAAATTGAATTAAAAATTGTAGACATAACTTATTTTCAGTTTTTTTTTTTGGTCCTGTGCTAAGGTTGTTTTTGTTACTGTAAGATAGATTGATGATTTGATTCATATTCATATACTGGCGCACTTTTGTTTTTTCTTATTTTCAAAAGGCAGATCAAAACAAGGAAAGACTGTCGAATGGACAACCAAGGATTTGCTTAGAGGCTTAGAAGAATTTGTACCCATCTATGAGACACGGCCAATCAAGAATAACATGTATGGGATGGGCTTTGACCACAGCTTTGGACTCTGGTTTATGGTGCGCTGGCTGAAGCCGGATTTGATGATTGAGAGTGGTGCATTCAAGGGGCATTCAACATGGGTATTACGGCAGGCCATGCCTGATAAGCCAATCATATCTCTCTCACCTCGTCACCCAGAGAAGTATCTAAAGAAGGAACCTGCTTATGTCGATGGGAACTGCACTTACTTTGCTGGGAAGAATTTTGTGGATTTTGGAAGTGTTGAATGGGACAAAGTACTGAAAAAGCAAGGAATTTTGGATATTAGTCAGGTCCTTGTCTTCTTTGATGATCACCAGAGTGAACTAAAGAGGTATAAATTCCAATGATAAACAGTTTATAATGGTTTTCACTAGATATATGCGTGGCAGTTTACCTTCTGGATGGGAGAGTACTCTTTATTCTAAATTAAACGTTTTTGCACTATATTTTGAAGAGTTTAGATGTTCTAATTCCTGTCACTTGAGACACTTTTCCATTGTTGTTATGGTGTTTATAAAGCTTTTCTAAAAGGAATGATGGTTACAGTCAGTAATGTGTTTTCTCTAGTGCCTTTTACCTAAGCATCTATTATTTTGACTGTTTAGATTGAAGCAGGCCCTGAAGGCAGGTTTTCGCCATCTTATATTTGAGGATAATTATGACACTGGCACTGGGGATCATTATTCCTTAAGACAGATATGTGATCAATCTTATATCAGAGGTAAGTGGTGAATATGCTTTTGATGTATGTTATCTTAAGAAAAACTCTTTAAGTTGTATTATTAATGTATAATCCGCAAATTGGGCTTTTTTAATAATATATGTATGCTACAATTTGGCTTTGCTTTTGAGATAAACAGCCAACCAGTCAACTTAATAATAATTATGTGTAAAATTGTTCCTAGATTATAATTGGATACCTTTTTTCCTTAATGCAAGAGTCGTTTAATCTTTGTACGTACTTGTTGGACATGTTCATTTCTATTCAGAGTTTTTAATAAATATTTCAATCATGCTCATTGTATGTGCTCAGCTGATCATAGCAGCTTATCCCTATGTGCTGAGAATACTAGAATCACCTGGCGGCAATAGCCAAAACCTTTGAAGGTGCAACTCTACAAACCATAGTTTTTTGCATGACCTCAAGTGAACTATTGATTAAAAACACTAGCTGACTGAAGAATAAACTTTTTTATTAGAAAACCAGCAGAAACGTTCCTAGAAGATTTAGTATTACCACTCAAGAAATCAATTTACCTCATCTCAAGATCAGATTGGTAGATTAATCCAACTTAAATGGGAATCATGGCCTCATGACGGGATCCTTATTTGGATATGGAGAAACTCTCCCTTACGTGCAAAATTAGAAGTGGAGTAAACTCCTCCCCAACAAATGAAAGCTTTCTAAGCTTTAGCATCTTCTTCGATAGGATTGCCAGAGGTCAAAGGAAGATGTTCTATAGGAGATATGGAAGCAAAAACTAGCTCTACACCCTTTTTAGGGGACAGGTTTCCTATAGTTTGGGTGCAGGATAAATACAAGAATCATGATTATGTACATATAACATTTTAAAGAAATACAAAGAAATATCCTCAAACATAACTTCTTGCTAAATCACCTCATAACAAATCTAAATATCTAGTTTTTGGTAACATCAATTTAAACTAAACCTTTATTTGTGGATGATCTTGATAATCTGGTCATATCAAAATCAGCAAGTAATGTTTCACCAAAAATAGCACCCAATGAATGAAGGACTTTATAGTTAATTAAATGAACAAGGATACAACGAAAAGATCCAAACAGGAGCACACAGGAGCACTTGTTGAATCTTGTTTAGAGTTAAACTTTGAGGTATGTTTAAATTTTATCATACAACAACAACAACAACAATGACATCAAGCCTTTATCCCACTACGTGGGGTTGGCTACACGAATCCTTTTTCTCCATTGTGTCGTGTTAAGAATCAAATTCTCATTTAAATCTAATAAAGAAAGGTCATTTCTAATATTTTCTAACCAAGTCTTTTTAGGTCTACCTCTACCTTTCTTAACATAGGCCAAATCTAATACATTTACTCTCCTAACAGAGTCATTGGAAGGCCGCTGTTTTACATGACCAAACAATCTAAGGCGACTCTCTCTAATCTTATCTATCACTGGAGCTACTCCAACCTTTTCACGGATATGCTCATTTTGAATCCTATCTATAGGAGTAAATCCACTCATCCACCTTAGCATCCTCATCTCAGCAACACAACTTAATATTATGTTTCTCTTTTAATGGACAACATTCTGTGTCATAAAGCATTGCATGTCTTATCACCATCTTATAAAATTTTTCCTAAAGTTTGAGTGTTACTTTTCTATCACGCAACAAACTCGAAGCATTCCTCCATTCCAACCATCAAACTTGAATTCTACTAATAATATTCCCATCTATTTCACCATCACTTTGAACAATAGACCCAAGATATCTAAAACAAGTGCACTTATTAATGACTTGATCGCTCTAAGTCACAACCCCCCCCCCCCCCCATGTATTCGGTTTTAGATCTACTCAAACGAAACCTTTCGACTATAAGGTTGACCTCCATAATTTGAGTTTACCTTCAACTTCCTCTCTAATCTTATCAACAAGAAGAATATCATTAGCAAAAAAGCATACACCAGGGTACATCATCTTGCAAATGTCTAGTAAGAACATCCATGACTAAAGCAAAAAAGATAAGGGCTTAAGGTTGATCCTTGATGTAATCCAACAAAAATAGGAAAATACTTGGTCAAACCACCTTGTGTTTGAACACAAGTAATAGCTCCCACAAATATATCCCTAATGACTTGAGTATAAGCATTATTAACCTCTTTCTCTTCTAGAACTCTCCATAGCACTTATCTTGAAACTTTATTATATGCTTTATCTAAATCAATAAATATCATATGTAGATCTTCCTTATTCTCTCTAAACTTCTCCATCAACCCTCTCAATAAATGAATAGCTTCCATAGTAGACCTATCCGACATGAATCCAAATTGATTTTGAAAAACATTAGTCGTAACCTATGGTCCATAACTCTCTCCCAAAATTTAAATTTTCTCATAGGAAAACTAAAATCATGACTTCAAGAAAATAATTGAGAATAATCTTTTTCTTTCTTAACTCTTACAATTATATTCTCAAAGTCTAAGAATTTGATAATGATTGAGCTTGAAAATATGAGTGCAATGAAAAATTTCCTTAAAAAATTTTCTACTAGTGCAAACTCAAAGGGCTTAACCGAGGCAGCAATTTCTTTGTTCATGAAATCTATACAATTTTTACCATTGTAGTATACCTTTGATTCATATCAACAAAGCTGGATCTATATTACAAGAAAAAGCTTTCAAAAAAGATTTAGGATTTTTTTTTTTTTAATGAAAGAAGAGCCTCACTCCATATTATGAACAACATGGACATTTGTCTTTTATGTAGCTGGTACTAGATTTGAAGAGGGATCACCTAAGAGAGAACAGATGAAGTCATCTAATGAGGCCACACCATAGAAGATGCTTTGACAACTCCAAAGCAAGAAATGAAAAGACTAGACACCAATCTTGAGGGCACCGTCATTGAGCAAAGGAGTAAGAGGCCGATACAACAAAATCAACATGTTAAATATCTAAAGAAGAAAGTGAAGTATGAAAAGATCTTTAGGAAAATCCACACTGCCGCTGCTAGGACAAACCCTAGCAGAGCTAGTCGATGGGGACCACTTTGTGCTACCATCAACTCTCTTGAAAGCTTGTCTTCATAGCAAAGGTGCTACTAAAGCTTTATATCGAATGTGATCTAAGAACTTCCACCAATTGAATTTATCTCTCCATAACTCTCTACTATAAAGATTTACCTGTGGTGCTGATTTTATCTATTATATTGACATGACTATGGCATGATTAATTTCTCAAGGACTATTGAGCATTTTTATGGTTTTCCCCAATTGAATTTTGTTGGTTCCTCTGCAGGTGGTGGACATAGTTGCTTTAGGGACAGCGATGAAGCAAGGGTAAGGCGAAAAAGGAAAATGCTTTGGGAGAAGGCTGTTGACATAGATGAATTATGTGGTGAGGGGGAAGCTTGGTGGGGTGTTCGTGGGAACATGAGAGATGATTTTAACCACAGCAACAAGGCAATTACTTATGCAGAACATTTTCAGAACAGTAGATTTGTGGAGTCTGTGTTAGATATATATTGGGAGCTGCCACCGGTAGCTGGCCCCTCCTTAACCCACCAAACAAGATATGATCCTGCCCGTGTACCTGATCCTATCATTGAAGATGGAAGGTTTGGTTTATTTCGAAGGTTAGGCCTGTCTAGACTTGAAACTTCTGTGTTCAATGGCTATACACAGATGGTATATGTTCAAATATCTACTTCTGATTCCTAGTTGTTGTAGAAAAAATTTCAGCTCGTTTTATTGTTCACGATGAATCTAGAGCTTGTTCAGTCTATTAACATGTTTCATTGCTCATTTTATCTTTTTTCTTTCTAGTATTTTTTTTTTTATTATTATTGTGGGTTAAGGCTCTATTTGATCAGCATAATTCAAGTTGGATAGTTGAAGTGGAGGAATGCATCGGGCTTGTTGTGTGATAGAAAAGTCCCCCTCCTACTTAAGGTAAAATTATATAAGATGGTGGAGAGACCTACAATGCTTTAAGGTACCGAATGTTGGCCATTAAAAGAGAAGGATAATACTAAGTCAAGTGTTGCAAAGATGAGGATGCTTAGGTGGATGATTGACTTTACTCTTAGAGATAGGATACGAAATGAGCATATACGTGAAAAGGTTGGAATAGCGCCAGTGGAAGATAAGATTAGAGAGAGTCGCTTAGATTGTTTGGTCACATAAAACGGTTGCCTTCCAATAACCCAGTTAGGAAAGTAGAGGTATTAGATCTGACTTATGTTAAGAAAGGTAGAGGTAGACATAAAAAGACTTGGTTAGAAAATATTAGAAATGATCTTTCTTTATGATATTTAAACGAGAATTTGACTTTTAATAGGACACAATAGAAAAAAGGATTCATGTAGCCGACCCCACATAGTGGGACAAAGGCTTGATGTTGTTCTTGTTGTGGGTTAAGCCTTTGTGAAATTTCTTTAGAATTGTGAATTACAGTTTTAGCTTTTCTTTGTATTTATGTATTCGTTATAGCAATTTTTGGACGCAAAGTTATGTTCTTTATGTATTTGTTTCTATGTTCATTCATTTTCATTTTGAAACATTGTAAGCTATGATGTCTAGTAGATTCCTTCTCTCCTTGTGTTCTATTATTTTTTTCAGATCTGACTTATGAATCATGGGCAATGTTCTTGCTTAGTTGGGAACGTTAACATTTAGGTAATTGGAAGTCTTAGAAAAAAGCACTGCATTATTTTAACAAATATTCATCTTCATTGTTTGAAACCTCAGTCCTGTTCCTTAAATGTGCACTCTTCGTTGAAGCAATTGTTAGGCGTGTAGACCCTTACTGCTTTGAGTCAAATTCATCAAGCCATATAGTGGATCTGAATTGGATCTGATAACTCGCAAAACATTGAACCATCTTCAACCAAGCTGAGAAGTGGATGTCGACGACCTTGCTTGGTTCAATTAACACTAATTTATATTAAGGTTTTGTTTGGGATGACTTGCTTATTGTTTCTTAAGCACTGGCAGGTTTTGCTCAAATGTTAGATGCAAGAAAAAAAAAATATAGGTTGTTTTTTTATCTATGAATGGGAGATTATTTATAAAATTTTCTTAATCATATGCATTTGGATGTTATATATAAATAATTATAATAATTTTAAGTGTTTTTTTTTATGTGAATCCCCCAATTAAAATTATCAAAAATGTCAAAAACACAAAAACTAAGATGAGGTGATATAATTGCCACTACTAACATGTCTGATAACATAATCAAAACCAAATTTAGACATAAAAAACTTGGCATAAAACAATCAATTCTTTACCAAAGAATGTTAAAGACCAAGAAGCCATTAATGGAATGCAATCTCATAATCCATCTCATAAAGTCACAAACACTTAAAACAAAATCAGGACGCAGATGAACTCAAAAACCTGCACACCTTCGCCTCTCGATAAACAAGCCCAGACTTGCAGAAATATCCATTACTCGGACTGCAATGCCTATCTTCCGAACAAATACACTCTCCTTCTAAAGCACAACCATCTTTCTTCCCAGCCTTCCTCCCCAAAAGTATCTCATCCGACCACTCACTACTAAACATTCCCATGGGATCCAACTTCTTCTTCAACGCATTAAACTTGCTCATTTGATCATGATACTTCTCCTGCACACCAAAGAAAGCAACTTTCCTGTTCTTCCCCCAATGCGGCCTCGCGCCATGCTTGAAGAAAGCCATCTGCTCCACTTCCTCCCAGACATCCTGATTCAGCCTTGGAGTCGAAGGCTCATCAGCTCTGTAATAGTTGAAGTCGACGACGACGGAGTCCTCAGCTTGGCCCAGATACGCAGATGAAGCTTTGATGAATCTGATAAGGAAGCCGTTGTAGACATCAACGCCGCAGAAGTTTTGGGGGTTGAGGTCTCTTAGCTTCTTGACGTCGAGGACGAAGTTTTTGAAGTTGGAAGCGGTGAAAATGGCGGTTGTTTCGTAGAAGAAGAGGCCTTTGATTCTGGGATCCCATGAGCACATGGCGAGTGGGTTTGATGGTGAGGAATGGAGGCAGGAACCGGAAGTTTGGATTTTGCTCTGACGGCCAATGACGGGGTAGCCAGAGAAGATGAAGTCGTCGTTTTTGAGACCGTTGGCGGCTAGTTTCTTTGCTGCCAGAACGGTGGCGGCCATGCCGCATTTGCCCTTCACGTTCTTTGATTCCTCCAGGGCTTTCTCTGCATAACGGAAGCTGAAATATATGGTGAACATTTTGGTTGCAGGAGTGTAGGATTGGCTACGATTTCCATCAGTAATCTATATATGTTAGTGACAACTACAGAGTTTTGATGAATTGCTTGAAGGTCAGAGCACAAATTATTTTTTATCTTATTGACTAAAATTTTCTTAGTCCAAAATATGAATCTAATTATTTTTTTGCAACTTTATTCACAATAATATTGAATCTGATTGTTCAAAATTATTTTAATAAATTTATTCAAAATAATAATAATAATAATCAAATCTTTTATTTTAATACCTACATCTAAAACAAAAATAATCAGGTTCATAATAGCGAGTAGACAGGCATATAGATAGAGCTGTAGAGCTTTGGGGTAGTGCAGACTACAATCATAAGAGAAATGAAGCATAATATATGAATAAGTGTCAAACTTTTGCTTCACAATGCTCGAAGGCTAGTGGAAATGGTGATTAATATTGTAGACGCTAGTAATTGAACATGAACTTTAGTACTGTTAAGCATTCCTGAGAGAAACGTAATAGAAAGATCTGATGAAGAGTTGCGTTCCAATTAACCTTGCGAGACGCCGTGTGAGAACAACTCTAAATGCTTGGAAAAAAAAAAAGAATCATGCCATGTCTAAGACCAAGATGATTTTGTTAGTTTTGCATGGAATCTAATTGTGTTGATAAATTATGCTATATTAATGTCTTAATCCTAAATTCAGTCTGTTGAGCTCGTTGGAGGGTTGTAGGGGGGGGTTCTCCTTGGCACCCAAAATTTTTTTCCCCATACAACCCCTGATAATTTTTTTTTCTCCATACAACCCCCGACGTTGTGTACACAAGCGCCTTACACTACATATTTTGATGGGAAAAGACAAAGCAGAGCATTGCAACGCTGTCATAAAGACAGGAGATTGAGAATTGAGTGTCGCGGCGCTCCAACTTAGCGCCGGGCGTTGCGAGGCAGAAGAGCAATTTTCTTTCCCGTTTTTTCATTAAGAGTTGTCCCTTGGTAGTTGTTGAGTATCTCTTAATTTGTTCTTGTGTAAGAATAGTACTAGAGAGAAGAGAGAACTGTAATATTTCTCCTATCATAGTGGATTTCTTGTAGGGGTGTCAAAATCAATTTTTGGGTGAGATTCGGGTCGAACCCGAAGTTAACCCAGGTCTAATCGAGTTGACCCGAACTAGACACGGGTTTTATAAACGGGTCAGAAATTCAGACCCGAACTTGACCCCGAGGTTGACTCCACCCAACCTGTGAAATCGTACACGAACATTGTGCAAGCAAGGCGAGCACGAGGTCCTGAACTGCAGAGTTCGGAAGTGAGGTGAGCGGCCTATGAGTCGAGCACCGTGTTGTTCTGGGTCGTCTGGATGCGAACTGCGGAGTCCAAACGCGAGGTAAGCGTCCAAACGCGGAGCCGGTCTAGCAGTCTGGAATCGAAGTTGCGTACTGCTGAGTTCAGACACAAGGGCTATGAGACGAGTGTGGGATAGCGCTATGCGAAGTCCGGGCATGAGGTGAGGCAAGGAGAGAGCCGTCTGGAAACGGGTTGACCCGAACTCAAATTTTTCGGGTAGGGTCAAATATTGACACCCCTAATTTCTTTCTGTTGTCTGGTTCCGTGATTTTTTCCCAATTTTAAATTTTTTCACGTTAAATCTTGGTGTTCTTTTCTTTCCATTGCAATTTTTTATTTCTTATCTGTTTCGTTGTGTAATTTTACTTCTCCCCATCATACTTTGATGGACAATATAAATTTTGTGAATAACACCCAAATATTTATTAGCCTTCTTTAAACCACCATACTCGAATTCAGGTCTTACAATGCTCTGTTTATTCATGAACCACGAGTTACATTGGAGGATATAAAACTCTAATATAGAGTATAATACGTTAGGCCATCGAATGCCAAATATTGCCTATTAAAATGATTTCAATTTATATAGATTTAATTGTTTCAATTGACATTAATATAGGCATTAAAGCAAAAGATGGTAAAAATATAAGTAATAAAATAATGATTCACCATTAATTATTTATTGATCTGTTGAATAAAATTTGGATGAGTAAATTATCAGTCTAATTAGAAACCATTACTGAAGTAACTTCTCATTCAGAACAGCACCAAACAGAGACATACCTGCAAACCTCACAGCCATGGACGTTAATGTGGGGTTAGCCTGAAAACCAATGAAGTCATTGACGCCATCCCCGGAGGCGTTCGCCGGAGCTCTGCCGTCGAGCCTGTAAACAGCTAGCCGCTGCGATGGATACCAGTCGATGTCAAAGAACTCGTGTTGCTTCGTCATCTCTGTAAACTCATCCTGAAACTTATCATCCGATCTGTACTCGTATGTCACATTTCTCTTGAAGGCAGGCTCCAGCGACAGAGTAACCTGCAAGGTTTCGTTTAATGTCAAATATATGCAAAATTATTAGATTTTTACTGAAGAAAAACAATTAGGAAAAATTCCACTTTTTTTTTTTTTGGAGTAAGATCGAAATGAGCAGGAAAAAAATAAATAAATATGAAAGGTTCCCGGAAAATTTTTGGTTCAAAATATTCTAATAAAATTTTAACTATTTAAAATAAAATAAATATGATAGCTCTAAAATTTATTTTGAAATTAATATAATATAAAAAAAATAATTAAAATTCATATTATATTTAAATTAAATTAAATTTAAGAATATTTTATAACTTTTTATTACAATATAGAGCTTTTTTTTTTCAAAAGTTCTCTCAAAATAATGTAAATGAAGAAAAAAAAAGTGGAATTTTGAAATTAGTATAATATAAAAAAAATATCAAAACTTACTATTATACGTTGGATCTACAACCCATGTAATCACTTTAACGACAAGCTTTAATCTAAAATTCTCTTTCTCAGATGCGGTAATTAACTATAGGGGGGCTTGCACCTATAGGAAATCATAACTTAGATCATAAAACCCTCATAAAATAGAAAAATTATTAAGTCCGGACAAAATACCGAGCATATCGAGTGTACTGAGTGCGGTATCGAGTGCGATATTGAGCACGGTACCAAGCGCTCAAGTGACGTGGCGCTTTGTTATTGGTCTATGGACGCATTCGATGTCCGGACACAATAATTACTCCATAAAATGAGGGCGAAATCTTTGAGTAGTATCTTATCTAAAACCCAATTTGCCTTTTGAAAATTCACCAGAAACCTAAACTCACTAAAACTCTGAATAGTGGCATAAACAATAAAAACAAAAGACAGAGATGTTAATTTGTTATAATAACAAACAAAATTTTATTTCATTTCAATCTTATTTTTATTTTAAAATTTCAGCTCATAATTAAGGATAAGAATACTAGTTTTCATCCTAAGAAAATAAATTTTTTTTGGGTAAGTTTTTTTTCCAATAGAGATTTTTAATAAAATAAAATAAAATTTGTACATTTTAATTTTTTTCTTATTTTCCATATACATTTGAATTATTTCTATTCTTCCCTTAGCTCTCATTCATGAGAAATTATTACCTACGGGAGTTACGGTAATAATCTCCCCCTATTCATATACGAATAACTACTGCCACAAAAATAATAAGGACCAACCTTGGAAATCGCTCCGAGGAGCCCCATCGAAACCCTAGCCCCATTAAAGAGTTCCGGCTCACTCCCATCAATCTCCACTACCTTGGCGAAACCCTCATCCGCCGCCGCCGGCACAACTAAGCGCATCGCCACAACATACTCATGAACAGCTCCACCTTTCCCCCACCACGAGCTCCCATGCGATCCCGTGCTAATCAAACCCGCAATGCTCACTCCCTCCCAGTACGGCGCCGCCGGAAGGCTAAGCCCCGCCGCCTCCGCCGCGTCGACGACATCCCGCAACCCCACCCCAGCATCAACCGTCACCGTGTTCCGCACCGAGTCTACCGCCACTCGGGAGCTATACTTAGCAGTGCTGATGAGCAGAGAGCCGGTGGGCGGCGGGCAGACTAATTTGGGAATTGTGTGGGAGTAGCCGCTAACGACCTTGACTTTGAGGTTGAGGCGTTGGGCGGAGGCGACGGCGGAGAGTAGTTCTTCTTCTGTGGAAGGGTAGACGACGGAGGGGACGGGGCAGGGGCTGCGGTCGTTCCAGGCGCCGTAGGCGTTGGAGATTGTGCAGTGGTTGGCGGTGGAGTTGCAATGGACGGGTGGCGCTGGGGGAAGGGAAAGGGTTGGGGAGATGAGACGGTGGAAAAGGAAGAGGAGGTGGAGGAGGCGGTATGGCATTTTGGTGAATGATGGTGTTTGTGATGGTACTGTTGATTTTATGAGGCTTTAAAGGAAATCAAATATGAACAAAATTGAACAAAAAAGATCAAAACAGTCTTACTAAAATTTTTAGGGGATTTATATACCAAACATTTAAAAATTTAATATTCGATGCTTATCATTCAGAGATAATTTTAATAACAAATATGTCATTTTTAATTTTTTATATTTCATTTTAATCATGCTTATAATCTTATAAACTTTAATATTTTATTTCTTGTATTTATATTTGATCTATAAATAATTGCATGAAATATTTAAATTTTGAATATTAAATGTGTAAATAATATTGTATAAAATTGTATGTATGTAAATCCCCTACTTTTTTTTAACATAATGAATTTCAAATCTAGTTTCAAATAGATTGAGAGACTGTTTTATTGAATGTTTATAAAATAAATATAATTCAAAATATGCAAATATTTAAAATTAAATCATTTTAAAAAAGCCTTAATTGTTTGAATTAATACAAATTAAAGAATTGATATATTTTCCCAAAAAAAATTATTTTGAAATTTTCTCATATAAAATTCATCAAAGCAGGCTTAAAGCTCTTAAATTTGCCTGAAATTCGTCAAACAGTTACACGAGATTTAATAGAATTTATCATTAATGTTATCAAACAGTTTTCAGGATTTATGCCCATCAGGATTTTCAAAATTCAAATTTAACGGATTTTGTAAATCCTACTTAAACCAAATCCTGGGTGCTACCTTAATATGGAGGCTATCAGTTTGACCCAAGTGGAGCTGAGAGCAAGCCTGCTGGAGGGAACACCACCTGACACTATCTAGCAGCTTCAATGCTTTTTGTTCAGGATATCATATATTTTCCTTACCATGCTCTAAATAAAGCTGTAGGTGTGCCAGGGATTATAATCACGCTTATCTACCATTCAACAACCTGGAAGATAAATAATTTTTTTCTTCTTGGCAATGAAACATAAAAAACTAGGAAGGGAGGTTAATAATCTAATTGAAGGAAAACATAGCATAGCATCTCGCAATCCTGTAAAAGACTTGCCAAATATGTAATGACTTCACCGAAGACAACCAAAGTTCTCCTCAAGGACCAGGCTGAGAGATCATTAATAGTTCTTTATGTAAATAGACAATTACAAGCTGCCTAAATTTGTTCATTTTTATAATAAGTATTTTTTTTTTTTGTCTTATTATATAATTTTATTTATATTGTTTAGATCCATCCGTTTATTTCCCATCAACTTTTGACTTCAAGTTTTGAGGACAATGATGATAGCTGCTGGTCCTCTTTACCCTTGGACGGTCTTTCTTCGGCAACCAGGGGATCTTCGTTTCTACGAGCCTCTCGAGTATCCTTATATGGTCAGCAGCCTGAGTCCTAGATGCGTTGCATCTACTACCACATTTTAGTACTTCAATTTTTTGGATAATTAGGGTGGTATAGTTGTGGTTTCTTTTGCCCACATAAGTTTTTTATAATTTTTCTTATGTTGGGCTGTTTTTCATTTATTTTTCTTCTTTACTTGTAATTGTTTTTTTACTTTTCAAGTAATAGAAGGGCTTTTTGCCCCTAAATTTTCCAAAAAAAAAAAAAAAGGTTATAAATAGGAGTTTAATGAATGAGCTTTGATACATTAAGACATATGATGACTGACTAAAATTACATCACTTTAAATTTGTTAACAACAATGTAGTGAAATCTCCTTGCTTTTGGTATAACCCGAATCGGCTACTCACCAGGTCTGGGATTTCTTCCGCACGCACAAGCAAAAGCTGCCCCGCTTCTTTATGCACACGAGCCGAACCGAAGCCAAGCAAGTCGAACGCCCTCGCCCATCGTCTCTCCCTCCAATCGCATGGTGGAGTCGAGCAAGCAGCTTTCAAGGTCAAAGTTTGTAGCAACCACGGTGAATAACTATTATTTATTTATAGAATAAACGCCCCTTTCATAGTTATGAGCGTTATTCTTAGTTCTATTGTTAGATTTTTCAATGTTTAGTGGACGGTTATGTCATTGTAGATTTCTATTATTTTTACACATTTGTTCATAATGAATTAGAAGTTTCATAAATAGAATATTATTGATTTATTTATGTATAATCTCATGTATATCAAATTTATATTTTCATGCATGATATTGATTGAATGCAATAAATATTATATTGACAAATCACATTAGTTTTGTTTATTACAGTAATTGATACTCCTGTTATAAATCATGTTGATTATATAAATTGTAATTGTTATGTTGAATTATATAACACGTGTTAATTATTTGTAATAGCATTTGGACGGTATGATTATGTGTATGTTGTTATAACCCTATTGAATTTTTTGTTAGACGGGGTCGATGGGCCCCATAGTGGCAACTCTATAGAAAATCACTAGATTTTTTTAGGATGGTATTTACCTTCCCGATGGTGAGTATATTATGAATTGACAATAAAAATTTATGCTAAATCTAAGAAAAATTAAGAGGATATGAATTGGAAACAGGATATGACTTATAGAGTCATAGGTCATTGTGAGGTACATGAATACCTAGTGTAGTGCATTTGCAACCATTAAAATAATTTGACAGCAATAGGTATTTAACATATATACAAGCATATTAAAAGATGTAGAAAACATAGCATATCTTATGATGGTTTTTGATATATTGATTATAAATTACTACTCTCCTCTTTTGGTTGTTCATACTACATGTCTCATTCTTTTATTGTTTATGCTTTGATAGATAAGAGACTTGTTGAGTTTGATTTATCATCAAACTCATCCATTGTCTTTTTCAGTAGGTCCTGCAAGCTTGTTTGCTGGATCTCCACCTAATGAGTAGGGTTACCAGCGGTAGATTATTTTTGGTATTTATTATTTTGTAGTAGTTTATTATGTTTATGTATTTGTTCTAAGGGTTCGGTAGTTTCTTTCCTGCTTTTTGGTTCTATCTATATTCCTTTTGACTTGTATCAAAATTTTGTTATTTGGATGTATTAATTATTTGAACTTCAATTAAAGATAGTTTCTTTTCTGCTTCAATTGTATTTATTGTATATTTATGCTTCTTTCTGTAAATATAAAACAGGTCTTCCTATCCCTTCATCTTCATCGAGTCCCATATTGCCGGGAAATATATGTCAACTTCTCTCTTAATTTGTGTTTACTTTTATTAATAAGGTTAATGTATAACACACAAATAGCTTATGATTCGTTTCTGATGGCCGCAACTTTTTGTAAAGATGGTTATAAAATTGTTGTAGTGAAAATAATTTTTTTTAATTATAAAAAGTAGTTTCTTAGCATAAATTTTTTTAAAAAAATAATAAAAAATAAGAGTTAAATAAATTTTTTATTATCATCTAAAAAATAAAACAATAAAAAAATTATTCCAAACTAAACCTTGGAATCTAACGAATCGTGCTCGTCAAAACGGGCAGCTGATTCTCCATCAAGCCGTGGCTATAGCTAGAAGCCAAAAGTATATGTAATTGCATTATAAAGTTTGACCAACTGAGAGATCTTTAATATAAAAATATCGAAAATCACGGAATTAAATTATTTTCATTCAAGGTATATTTTTAAAAAAAGAAAAGAAATTTTATTTTTTATTTATGTATTATTATTTGTTTCAATGGAGAATAAGAATTTCAAGATATCTGAGCTTGATTTTGGAACTGTGCGTGCCAGCAGCTGGGGCGATTGGGCATTTGGGCCAAAAATACAAGCAAGCAGGCTTGGATAACTTTTTTATCGCATCTTAAAGCAATTTTTAGTATAAATTTTAAAATTTTGAATGGGATTGCACAGGATCTGAAAAAAACAATTCAAACATGAATATCTACTTTAGTACATCAACAAATCAATTTCGGCTAGATAAATAAAATAAAATTAATATTGCGAGTAGGGCTCATAGACCCGTGAACCCAATAGTGACCTTATATTGACCATTTTTTCATTAATTTTGTTTATGTGTGTATGTTCTTCTTATTATTTATCAATTAATCAAAAGTTTATAGTTTGACAAATTATTATTTTTAATTAAAAAGAGTTATCAGGGCATGTTTGTGTCATTTCGATTGCTAGCCGGTTTGAGTTCAGGAGCACCTTTTTGGCCCATTTATTAAACAATAAAGTTCAGATCGAGTGGATTTAGATCATGTTCATTTTGGGTTAGACCCAAAGTTGATTTGTTAACTCATTTTTGTTAGAATAGATAAATAAATTCAAATCATTAATCATTCTTGCTGACCAATTAAGGTTGTACACGTGTATCTCTAAGCTTTGTACGTTATGTATTGTAGCCTAATATACTTCTGTAAAGACAAGATTGTATAATCAATTCTAAGATTTCTTTCCTGTTCGTCCCGTTCTCCTCTCTCTGCTTTCCTCATCTAGTTCATGAATTTCATCATGGTATCATATCTCTAGCTAGAAGGGAACCCTATAGAATGGAGGGGATTAGGTGAATGCATATTGGATAAGGCCACCATTAGAAGGAATGGGCATCAAATTATTGTTGTCGACGCCATAAGCCCATGGTGTGTAATTATACGTGGTGTTTTTGATAATATATGTGCAGAAGTTAATATGCAAGATTTGAAAAGATTTTCACTGGGCCTTGAGTTCATTTGGCCAAAATTCCTCAAATCCCTAAAAGCATAAAACATAAGAAAGATTGATTATAATGAACTTAGGTTTTCCAATAAATATTTTTTTATTAAAACTTAGCCCATAACTTACTATTATCTCTGCCACGAGCCACCCGCCACAAACTATATAACCTATTATAATCATAATAGGATCAACATTGATACGTCATGCAAAAATTATTTTGATCGGACACGAATCTCGAGGCAAAAATCAAGTCGGAAACTTCAAAAATTAAATCCGGGAGCACCTGAACTCTGATTTAAGCAAACTTATAGTCAAACTGAGCGTCT